TGGGAACAAAGACAAAGAACTGAAACACAGGACCAAGAGCCAAGAGAAAAGACGAGACATAAACTAAGGACAAGGAACGAGGAGAAAACAGGCAAAAGACGAAACAAATGGCAAAAACTCAACCTCACCAAGAAACTACAACTCATAACATGTACTTGTATAAACTGCTGGAGTTTAATTATAACTAAACATCATATTTTATAAACTCTTCATGTGTAACAATCTGACTTTGTAAAGTAACTGAAGCTGTCAGATAAATGTAGTGAAGTAAAATATCTCCCTCTGAGATGGAGGAGAAGGAGAAAAAACTCAACTCAACATATTTGTACAACTACAAATATGTATTAAGGACAGTTCTTAGGCAAATGTACTTATTTAATGTTCACCACTGCATATAATAACAAACAAATGACAAAGGTTTCTTTGTTTGTTTGATAAACTGAAGCAGTAAAAGGAAAATGGATCTTGAAACAGTTAATCTCACCTCCAACACACTTCATACATGTCTCAAAATAAGTTGTTGGACCAAACACAACAACTCTCAGTCAGAAAGCAAACACTGTCACTGATAACACACCGAGCTATCAATCAGTATTTTATTACAGAAGAACAGATTTTCACATTATGGACTGCGTGTGTTTCAGTAGTCGTCTAATCCCGAGTGAAGGTGTACAGGTTGAGACGCCAACGGTCTCCGGGGTGGATGGCAAGGCAGGTGCACAGGGAAAGACGCCATTCACTCTGCCCAGGTACGATCCATCCCCGTCAATTAGTACTGGCTCCAGAGGGAGGCACTACTAAAAGTCCGTCTCGCTTGTCTTCAGCTGGATGCTCAGGAAAAAGAGCGTGAGAGGCAATCTCAATTCCAGCTTCAGCTGGAGGGGAGGAAGCTGGAAAATGAGGCTGACAAGGCAGTGAGGCTGCGGAAACTTGAAATCGAGGTTCCCGAAATGGGACGTGGGCGGAGCGCTCACGATGACTCAGGTATGACTTCCTCTTCCACCACTTCTACCAGTTCAGTAAAAGTAGCATTTGATATTAGTAAGCATGTGTCCTTGGTACTGTTGTTCCGTGAAAGTGAAGTTAATTCGTATTTCAGTGTGTTCGAACGTATTGCTGCTGCATTACAGTGGCCGCCTGAAGTCTGGTCAGTCCTGCTTCAGTGCAAAATGTATGGGTAAGCACAGGATGCTATCGCTGCACTCTCTTTAGAATATAGTTTGAATTATGATTCTGTAAAAGATTCTGCGTGGTTACGAACTAGTGCCTGAGGCATACAGACAGAAGTTTAGAAACTATCGTAAAACTTCATCTCAGACTTATGTTGAGTTCGCCAGGGAGAAAGGAACGCTTTTTGATAAGTGGAGCTCAGCTTGCAAAGTCACTGATTTTAATTCTCTAAGGGAGTTGATGGTGTTCGAAAGGTGTTTACCCGATCGCATTGTGGTATATTTAAATGAACAGAAGGTGAACACACTGTCTCACCTTGTTCACCCAAAGCGCGTAGCACAAGGAAAGAGGACAGGGAGTGTTTCTACTGTCACCAAACCGGCCATGTAATTGCTAATTGTCTTGTACTTAAACGTAAAGAGCAAATTCCACGCTCTTCTAAACCTAAAGGGGTTGATTAGAGCAGAGTCAGGTTTAGACACTGAGCAGCCTGAACAGGAAGTTGTTGACGTTTGTTTCAAGCCATTTGTTTTTGATGCCCATGTGTCTTTGACGGGTGCATCAGCTGATAAATGTGCCATACGAGTTCTGAGAGACACCGCATGTTCACAGTCAGTAATCCTCAGGTCAGCACTGCCCTTTTCTGAACAGTTCTCACGTGGCTACTGTTCTGTTTTACGAGGTATTGAAATGGGTTACATTCCACGGCCAGTACATCACGTTCACATTCAATCTAAGTTAGTCACTGGATTTTTCCCAGTTGCAGTTTGCTTAGAGTTGCCGATTACAGGTATTGTGCTCCTGATGGGGAATGATATAGCGGGAGGTAAAGTAACTCCAGCCCTGGAGGTGTTAGATCAACCCTAGTGGGATGAGACACACTCTACAGAACACACATCCTCGAACATATTTCCCTCTTGTGCCCTTACTCGTGCGGGTGCACGTGAAAACCGAAGAGAGGGCGATGAATTTTCGTTATCTGACAGCTTACTTATGTCAGCCTTTTCAGATTCACCAGGGTTGGAGACTGAGGCGGAGTGCACAGTTATTCCTGCTCAGGATGCGGCTGCAGAGGGAACGCTCCTGGCTGAGCAGGATATACCGACAGTCTGTGTGGTGGCACTTCTAGTCAGTCGAGATGGTCTGAGCGTGATGAAAAAAGCAGACCCAACATTGAAGAAGTGCTTCTCCATGGTAGTGAGTGACAACTCAGCAAGTGGTACAAAAGTAGCATACATCCTTAGAGGGGATATTTTAATGCGAAAATGGTCATTAATAGCTGATGATTCGGATTGTGATGCTGTTTATTAGTTAGTGGTACCCTCTGGCTACCGACGGCAGGTGTTGTCGGTAGCCCACGATAGACGGTGGGCGGGACATTTAGGGGTGACAAAAACATATCAGGCCATCCTCAGACATTTCTTTTGGCCAGGGCTAAAATCGGAGGTTGCTAAACATTGTAGGTGTTGTCATGTTTTCCAGGTTGTAGGGAAGCCTAACCAAACTGTTCCTCCTGCACTATTGCACCCTATTCCTGTGATAGGAGAGCCATTTGAGCGAGTGCTCATTGATTGTGTTGGTCCCTTACCCCGCACTAAAAGTGGAAACCAGTTTCACCATGCCATCTCTTCCACCTATCACCCAGAGTCACAGGGCGCATTGTAACGCTGGCACCAGACCTTAAAGTCGATGCTCAGGAAATACTGTGTAGAATCTGAAAAACAGTGGGATGAGAGGTCAGAGTCAGCGGACACATCTGATGATTTAAAGACGCGCATACCAGGGTGCTTGGCTCCCCAAATCTGAGGCATTAGCAGGTCTGCCATCTCAGTTACAACACCTGACTGCTGAGCAGCAGCAGGATGTGGTGAGTCTGGTAAGTCAGTATACCTGTCTTTTTAGCGATGTCCTGACTTGTACAAATGTTCTGCGGCATGACATGGAGGTGAAAGAGACTCGGCCCATTAAGCTGATTAATCAGACGAAGGGTGAAATGATGAAAAAGGAGGCAGACTACCTCCTGCAGAATGGATTAGCTAAAGTTAGCGCCAGCCCCTGGAGCTCCTCGTGCCTGCTGGTGGCTAAATCTGATGGTTCCCCTTGGTTCATATCTGATTTTCGCAAGGTACTGTTCGAGATTCCTACCTTTTGCCTAGAATGGAGGATTGTGTGGATAACTTGGGGGCAGCCAAGTTTGTAAGCAAGGTAGATCTGTTGAAGGGATACTGGCAGGTACCTTTAATGGGCCGTGTCTCTAAAATAGCTGCATTTGTCACACCAGATCACTTCCTCCAGTACACTGTAATGGCCTTCGGACTGTGCAATGCGCTGGCTACCTTCCAGAGGTTAGTAGACACTGTGTTATCGGGGTTGCACAACTGTAATGCGTATTTGGATGATATGATCATCCATGCAGCAACATGGGATGAGCACATGAGAGTACTGGAGCAGGTTTTTGATCGTTTGGCCCAAGCAAAACACTAAATTTAGCAAAGTGTGATTTTGGCAAGGCCACAGTTACTTACCTCGGCCGACAAGTCCGTCCTGTAGACACTAAGGCTGAAGCCATAGCTGGCTGGTCGTTCCAACCACCCTAAAGACTGCATCTAGCTGTCACGTTTTTGGGTTGGTTGGGTGTGTTTTGTAGTTGTTTCTGTGTATTTTTTAGTCAGGTTTACTTGTTATGAGGTCATCAGTGTTTCTAGTCCTGTTCTACCATCTGTATGTTCTGTAGGTTTTTGTTAGCTAGTACTTTTGATGTCTGTGTTATGTTTCATTTTGTGACATAGTTCCTTGTGTGTTTCAGTTAGCTTTACTTCCTGTTTTAGTTTGTAGTTAGTTTGCCCTAGTGTCTCTTGTCTTGTTTTACCTCCTGCCTGTCCTTTATGGTCTTAGTGGTTTCACCTCTGTGTAATTAGTTTCTCACTCACCTGAGTATTTAAGTGGTTGTCTGTCTTTCACTCGGTCCAGTTCATTGCGGATGTATTTTGATGTTGCCTTGGATGTTGCTGTGGATTTTCCTGTGGTGTTTCTCGTGCCCCTGTGGACTTTGGACTTTCATGCTTTGTGTTTTTGGACTGCTCACACTTAACTAGGGCTGTACATATCGATTATTTTTCAAGTTGATTAATCTAACGATTATTTTTTCGATTAGTCGATTAATCTAACGACTAAATTTGTTTATTCTAAAGAAAGAAAAGTTGCCTATTACTCGATTAACATACAAATTTATCCAAAATAAATATCAAAAACATGTCTTATCAGTAAATCTATATTTTATTCAATCATCCTGATGAAGCACATTAGAATAATGACAATAGTAGCAAATCT